TCAATTTGGGCTGAAGCATCAGGGATCTTAAGTTAGATTTAGCCATGGTTTCTTAGGAGTTCTTACGGAGTAATAAAATGGATGCATTGGTCATGAGTTTAGTTTAATTTGTGATTATTCATCTTCACATGAACTCTCCAACTTGAGTGTTTTTTTTTATGGTTTTTTTTTAATGTTTTTTATTTATTTATTTATTTCTAGGAGAGAGAGAGAGACAGCGTGAGCAGGGTAGGGTCAGAGAGAGAGGGAGTGACAGACTCTGAAACAGGCTCCAGGCTCTGAGCTGGCAGTCAGCACAGAGCCCGACGCGGGGCTCGAACCCACGAACCGCGAGATCATGACCCAAAAGCGAAAGTCGGACGCTTAACCGACTAAGCCACCCAGGCGCGCCCCCAACTTGAGTGTTTTTATCTCAGAGAGGCCAAGACAAGCTGGGACCCATTCCTGAGATGAGACAGCTACCCCGTAACTGGGCCAAGACTTTGTCCAGATTGGCTGATTCCGAGGCCTAAGATGAGTGGGTTTTGCCACCTCTCTCAGGCCTGGAGAAGGCTCTGACCACCCTTATGTTCTGCCCACAAGACAGAAAGTGGACTGATGGCCTTTCCCAATGAACTCAACTATGGTTATCGATGTGAGTCCACCTTACTCTCCCAGGAAGCTCACACAGCTCACACGTTAGAGAATTGATGGGGGCGGTGGGGACGCACCGCACTTTCCTGTCTTTGTAAAATCTCAATTCGATTTTTGTTCAGTCCATAAACAGTCAGGTGGGACCCTGAGACCTGAAAAGGTATATAATTTGTTTGTGATAAAATAATAGGGTTTTTGCTGAATGTGCTCTATGTGTTCTGTGAAAACTAAAGGTGCACACTGACGGGGAAGGGTGCCCTCAGTCACAAAGCATCTGGAAACAGCCTAGTTAGCCGACCTGCTGCCACCTGTCAGGGGCGCTGTGCGGGCGGCCTGCACCTCCCTCAGGCCTCAGAGACTCACTTCCGGTTCCTGGGAGTCCCCACTGGAAACGGAAAGGACACCACTGAAGAAAGCCACCAGGCCCACGGCCGGAGGCCCCTCCCGGAGACCACGGCGGGCGCTTGAGGGCCCAGGCGCTGTTCCGTGGCCCCCAGGGGCCACCGAGGCCTCCGTTGAGACGCGTCGGCCTGCCCGCCGCGTTCTGCCCCGTCCGGCTGGTCCCTTCACATCACGCCCCGGAAGCTCTCCGTGCTCAGGGCCCGCTGGGGTCGCCCCCTGGGGGCCGCTCGGCCGCACCTGACCTCGGCGACCTTTCTGCAACCCCGAGGGGTTGAACGGGGGGGGGCGCCCCACGTTCACAACCCACAACCCACTGTCTTTCTGTCCACGTGGCGCCCCGCATGGCCTCCTTTCACCACTCAGCACGTTCTCATCCCGCACAGGAATGTCTTTCACCGGATGGGGGCGCAGTGACCAGCAAGAAACCGTCTCCTTTCTTCCCGACTTGGGTTCCGTGTGTAATCCTTGCAAACGCCGGAAGCACAGGACCCTTCGGGTTGTGACCCTGGGGAGAGGGACATGAAAGCCACCGCCCACGTCATCAATCTGGGAGGCCCGCCCAGGGGTTCTCTTTGGATCTCATCGACCTTCCTCTGCTCTTGTAAACTCTGTACTTCTCTTTAAGCAAGAGGAACCAGAAGAAGAGAATTATGTTTATTTTATTTACAAATTAATTAATTGTGTTTTGTTTTTTATCTTTTGTCTTTAGTGCAGAATACAATACTTCACCACCATTGTATAACAGATTGATGGTACGCTAGTCTGAACTTCCCAGACTTTGAAACACGTGCTGTCAGAAGTGTGTGTGTTTAAATAGAGCAAGGAATTTCAATTCTAATTTCATTTATTATTATTATTATTATTATTATTATTATTATTTGGAGAAAGCCCCGCGCTGGGCTCCAGTCCATGACTCTGGGACGGTGACCCGAGCAGAAATCAAGAGTTAGACCCTCAGCTGACTGAGCCCCCCGCCGCCCCAGATGCTCTGGAATTTCAGTTTGAATGAAAAAGCTAAAATGCATAAGGGTTTTCAAGCAATTTAATCCTTATCCAGTCTAAGTTAATGTCCCCAGTTCTATTAAGGAGAATCAAAGTGTAGGCAGAGTTTGGACCTCGCTGGCAGTTGGAGTCCAAGAATCCTTATGAATCCCTTGCTTAGCTGTGGGTGGTCTGGCAGGCTTCAGCTGTGTGACTCCGGGGGAGGCTATTTGGTCGGTTTAAGCCTCTTTGGTAAAACAAATATAGTAAGACCTGCCTCATAGTATGGCCATGAGGGTTAAGTGACTGACAGAATAGAAAGCACTTGGGAAGCGCCTGTCTTATGATAGGTTCTCAAAAAATAGAAGCTCATTATTTAAATGAACAAGTGTGGAATTTTACATTTATTTTTATTTTATTTTCTTTTATTTTTATGTGTGAGAGAGAGAGAGCGTGAGCAAGGGAGAGGGGCAGAAGGAGAGAGAGAGTAAGCAGGCTCCACACTCAGCTCAGACCTCCATTTGGGGCTGAATCCCATGACCCTGGTTCTGTGACCTGAGCTAAAATTGAGTAGGTCGCTCAACCAACAGAGTCACCCAGGGGCCCCAAATTTTCATTTAAAACCAAAAACATATTTCAACTGGACAGCAAAACAGGCATGACCTTCCCAGCATCGCCAACCAGGCGGGTGCAAGGCTGGGACCATCGACCTCTCCACTGAATTGCAAAGGTCCGTAAAAGTATAACAAATGTCTGAAGTAGGCAACGATTTACCCCAAACATGACTTCTTCACACAAGGCTTCCTTTATATTCTTCATGGCCCTGTGGCATTCCTGGGCGATTTAAATCGTTTTCCTTGCCTCATATACCTGCAACAAGATAAAAATCTGAGACCATGTTTCTCCCCCCGGCAAAAAAAGAATTGCAATTCTCGGGTGTCTCTGGATAATATTTTTGGACTGAGTACAAGTCAGATATAGTGGTTCTGTTATATAAATGCTCAAAAAGTCATTTTTAATACATTTATGAGATTCTTTTCTTGATATCTGTATCTCACTGGCAGTTAAATATTTCCTGGATCTTGATAATAAATGCAAAATAAAGTACATTTCAGGGTGCTGTGTTTCCCTTAGCAGATGACTTGGCTTCTTAAATTTCACAGTGAAAATAAGATGTTTTAGCAGATGAAGGTTTTGTTTAGTTTTATTAAGGTATGTTTGGGCTGGATAAGGAATACAGTGGGTGTTCTCCCTGTCAGTTTTACAAGGCAGTGATGAATTTAGGACAGAATATACGATCATCCCAAGGATTGTAAGAAAGAAGCGCTATGCTCTCTTGAAGGTCATGGTAAAATGCAAGGTCGAGGGCTCAGGCAAGTGGCTGCTGCTGAGAAACCATTCTAATGTTAGTGGCGTGGAATCAGTGATTCACTTACGCATCCATTCAACAAGTATGTGTTGAGGGCGTGCCATCTTCTCGATATTGGGGTGCAGCAGCAAAGAAAACAGGAAAGGTCACTTTCCTCATTCTGGTGTGTGTGGTGGGGGCAGGCAGAACGGACGTAGGAAGGCGATGCAGATGCTGTAGCACTATATAAAGAAAGTGTAACCAAATAATGACCTGTGTGCCTGGGGGTGGGAGAAAGCCTCTCTGAGGGGCTCACGTATGACAGAGTCCTGACTTGTAGGAAGAAGTCATGGGGATCTCAAGAAGAGCGATGGGGAAGGGGGCGGAGGGGAGGGTACAGCGCGGGGGAGGGGCCGGCGTCAGGAATGAGCTGGGTCTGTCGCACCAACAGCAGCGAGATCAGAGGGGCTCTGTCGTGGTGAAAGCAGGTCTGAGTGCTGGGAGACTGGGCTGGAGAAGCAGACGGGCATCTGGTCCCGATGAGGTCCTTCCCATCAATGGTGGGGGTGGGGGAGGCCATCAGGGGACTCGAAGCAGGAAAGCCGCCTTACTCTTTAGTAAGAGTATGCTGGTGGCTGTGTTCGGAGGAGATGGCGGGTGAAGAAAAGTGGAAACAGAGACACTAAAGTGAGCTCTCTTTCAGGAGACTGCGCTGAGGTCAGACGGCTGGCAACCCCCGGGAAGGGCAGGGCAGTGAGGGGCTGAAGCCCCAGGGTCTCCCAGCAGGTTTTGCCAGCTCCTTGGCTGATACAAAGGGTAAAATGTCCTTTTCTCTCCTCATTTCCTGAGCCCTGAACCCTGAGAATCCATTGCTTATTCTCTGTAATTTCTCTTTGGCTCCGTGAGGTTGTTTGGTAAGAGGCAAAGAGCAAAGACACATAGACGTGAGTTCGCGTACCGTGAGGTTACTGGAGAAAGTGAATGGGGAAAACAGACAATCCAGTAATCCCAGGAGAGGCTTACGGGTTATTTTCACCTAACTATCAGCATCCTGGTCTGTCAATCAGGAATGGCTGTCTGTGTTCAGATCTGCCGCTGGGATTTGAAATCAAATCCAGATTTCCAAGAGCAGATTTACTAACACATTTTGGAAAACTCTTATTTCTCGTGCTAGGAAATACCTGTCCTTACAGTCTAGGCACACGGTGTTTTACATTCTTACTTTCTCACTTACCACAAATTAGATGTGTCTCTTTAATTTAAAATCAAGTGAAAGAACAAAATCTAAAAAGGGTGTCTATTATACAATTCCAATTATATATATTCTAGAAAAGGCAAAACTATGGAGAAAGTAAAAAAAAAAAAAAACAAAAAAAAAACAGTGGTTGTCACGGGTTCATAAGAGGGGAGGGAGAGTTGACCAGGTGGAACCCAGGGGTATTTTCAGGGGAAAAACTGTTTTGGATGATACTATCATGGCAAGTACAGGGCATTCAGCATTTGTCAAAACCTGCAGAATGTTACAGAACAAAGGGCAACACTCAGTTGATGGAAAATTAAAATTCATTTAGGAAGCTAGAGATCTCAGGCTGCAATGCAGACTGTATTACACACCTTTGGAACAGCCTCTTTGAAGGGTCTCAGGGCAAACCACGTTGAAGTCAGGAGCTTCGGGAACGAAGAGTCGGCCGGAGTAACACCAAAGTAACTCCAGTAAGCGCTGCACTCTGTCGACAATGTTTTACACACGGGTGCGGACACACAATTCCGATGCCGCTACATGTTTATCCCAGATTTGAGCAATTAAGTGAGTGTCTGAGGCATGATGGGATCCAGGGTTTTCACTGTTGGAGGAGGAGTTTGCAGATAAGCAAGGGGAGAAGGCTGGAATGATCCATGTGGGAACAGATAGTATTGGAGACCAGCAGAACTCACCTTAGTTGACTGGACTATGGAAGCTTCCATATGGAAATATCAGTAGATATGTGTAAGCCCACACGTTGATATGCACGTATGTATTCACCTCCTCTGTCAACTGATAGAGACGAAGGGAAATCACACCCCAGTAAGCATATGCACCTAACACCATTCTTTACTAAGATAAACCAGGGATGCGGGACAAATGGCTGGTGCTAGCTGAGGCATAAAATATACAAGCTGAGCCTAGAGAATCTTTTAGTGTCAGAGAGTAAGGACGTGCTTAAAAAAGAAAAACCAAACAGATGGAGGTATGCTAACGTAGCATAGGAGTGAGCTGAAAGACCTCACCAGTGGCCACGGCTGAAAGAATTTGAGCCAACACAAAAATCAAGAAGGTTTGAATTATAAAAATACATATAAAAATAAATATCCAGGAGTCCATATCTATATAAATAAATAAGTGGGGGGAATAGACATGTCTTACATGAAGAATTTCACATAATCTAGGTATATTTCTTCCCCTCAAGGAAAGAAGGTGTGGTTGTCGGCTACCTAAGTAGGTGCTACACATGGGGACTTCGTTCCGAAGAGTAAGGCAAGAAAAGGGTGGGAGGGGACTTTACAGTGGAGCACCTGACTCACACAACTTCAGCCAGTGGTCAAGGTCAGCATCAGAAACGGTAAACCAGGCGATCGTGTAAACCTTGCTACAGCCCAACGAAAATGGGACTTCATTTCTGTGATCTTTCCCCTCCAGTGGAACCACAAGAAAAACATCAGATGAATTCAGTAGAGGCATGGTCTATAAAATAGCTGGCCAGTCTTCCTCAAAGCTGTCAGGGTCAGCGGCAGCACGAAAATTTTGAGAAACTGTCACAGCCAACAGGAGCCTAGGAAGATAAGACAGCTCCGTGTGACATGGGATCCTGGAACACAAAAATGACATCAGGTGAAAACCAAGAAATCTGCATAAAGTGTGCACTTTAGTTAATAATATACCAATATGGGTTCATTTGTGATAACAAGTGTTACTATACAACAGATTATAACTAGTATATATGAGTGTAAGGTGTTAATAAGGGAAGTAAGTGGGATATACTGGAACTCTCTGTACTAACTTCTTAATTTCTCTGTAAATCTAAAATTGTTCTAAACATTAAAGTCAATGTAAAGAATGTCATGGAGGAAGACTTCCAGCTAAGGATGTGATGGACAGATGCCCTTCTCCCTATTCTTACTGCTATTAACTGCTAAAGTCACAGATATCACGTGTAAAACATAACAGGTGCCCCTGCTAAGGATCTCGGGACTTAAGGAAGAACAGAGTGATGGGTTCTTTTATTTTTAAGTTTATTATGTACATTGAGAGGGAGAGAGAGAGAGAGAGAGGAGTGAGGGAGCAGGGGTAGAGAGAGAGAGAATCCCAAGCAGGCTCGACACTGTCATCGCAGAGCCTGACATGGGTCCTGGAACCACAAATTGCAAGATGATGACCTGAGCCAAAATCAAGAGTTGGATGCTTAACCAACGGAGTCACCCATGCGCCCTGGGGTGATGAGTTCTTTTGATTTTCTTTTCCCCTTCAACTATCCCAGCCTGGATGCCAGAGAAGTCTGCAACTCAGAAATGCCACTGTGTACATGCAAGAAAGACTTTGAGCCAAAGGACTAAGAAAGGGGCTTTCTGGCAATAACCCTTCTTTTTCAGTCAAACACAATAGAAATAAAATGTGGCCTCTCCACTCCATAAGCAAATCTTGTGGGGAAACCATGAATTCCACCTTCCCCAAGAACGAGGTTCTTCCTATCCCCACTGGGGTAGGGCCAGGGGAGGGCAAGTAAGGCCTGAGACTAACCAGCCCGAGGGTGGACAACAGGGTACTCTTCCCCCCCACCCACTTCATGCTTACAGAGGCCAGGGTGGGTCTATACTTCCACTCTGACCTGGAAGTAAAGAGCCAACCCTCCCATTCACCACTGGGGTGGGAACGGTGGCGGCTGTGGAAAGAGCTGGGACTTCTCACACCACTCCAAGGTAATGAGACTCCCCGCATGCCAGGGCGCCCGGACACCCCACTTCCCCAGCAGCAGGGTGCTTATGCACTCATCCCTGGGCCGATGTCTGTGGGGACCTGTTGCAGAGCCCAGGCTCCCGCATCGACCTGGCAGCAATGAGGCATCTCTGCCCCTTCCCCACCAGCGTGGTGCCAGGGGAGACGGTGCAGCCCAGGGTTCCATCCTCTACCTGGTGACAGTGAGACACCCTTCTCCACCCTGTGGTATCATTAGAGGCCAAGTAGGGCCTCTCTTCCAGAAAACATAAGAAGAAAAAGTACTCTCTTCATTCTATGAAGTCAGTAAAACCCTGTAACAAAAACAGACAAAGATATTGCAGACAAGAAAACTGTAGACAAGTGTTTATCATGAACACAGACACAAAAATCCCTTAAAAAATAAAACAAATCCAATTACACAATATACAAAACAAATTGTACACCATGATCAAGGTGGTTTATTCCAGGGATACAAGCTGTTTCCATACTCAAGTTTCAATAAATATAATTCCTCATATTTCTAAAAATCACCTGAACACATGCATTCATACAGAAAAAGCATTTGATAACATTCACAGAGCCACTCATGATAAACTAGCTCAGCAAAAGTAGATAAAGAGAAAACTCCTCAACTTGGTAAAGAATATTAAGAGAACACATACAGGAGGACCTGGATGGCTCAGTCGGTTAAGCATCTTGATTTTGGCTCAGGCCATGATCTTATGGTTTGTGAGATCAAGCTCTGTGTTGGGCTCTGAGCTGACAGTGCAGAATCTGCCTGGGATTCTGGGTCATTCTCTCTCTCTGCCCCTCCCTAACTCATGCATGTGTGCTTTTTCTCACTCTCTTAAAATGAAATGAAATGAAATGAAATAAAATAAAATAAAATAAACACAATAAGACCTACAATGAACATAATATTTTATGGTGAAGACTGCTTTCCCTGTAAAATGAGGAGCAAGGCAAGGATGCCCATTCTAAACCTTGCTATTAAATATAGTACTGGAAGTTCAAGCCAGTTCAACACGTAAAAAAATAAAGTAGAATGCATGCACATTAAGAAGAAGGAAAGAAAACTATCACTATTTGCAGAAGACATTACAGCCTACATAGTAAATCCCAAGAAATCTACAAATTCCTAGAATCAATATATGAGTTCATCACAGTCACAGAATTTAAGAGCACTATACAAAAAAAAATAACATTTCTGTATACTAACAAAGTATACGTGGAAATCAAATTAAATTCACAATATTTAAAAGTGCTCAATAAAGTGAAATACTTATGTACAATAGTGTCTGTTGAAAACTACAGAAAACAAACATCATCTAAGTAAATCCCTGTTCATGGATTGGAAGTACCAAACATAGTAAAAATAGCAGTTCTCCCCCAAATTAATATATAGGATTCATGCGATTCCTCTCCAAACATGGCTAAAAATTTTGCAGACTTGAATAAGCCTCTTCCCACATGTATATGGAAAGGCAGAAGAACAGGAACAAGTGAGATAGTTTTAAAAAAGAAGAACAGAGGAATGAGTCCCTGCAGATATAACATTTACCATGGGTGGTCATCAGGTCCGTACAGGGGTTGGTGGAGGCGCAGTGCAGAGATGAAGGAGGTGGCCAGAGAGCTGAGAAACAGGCCCATCAGGTGTAGCCAAGTGATTTTTTACAAAGGTGAAAAAGTCATGCATTGACCAAAAAAAAAAAAACTTTATGGCAAATGCTACCAAAGCAACTGAATGTCTGTTGTTTTAAAGAAAGTGAGTCTCAATCTAAACTTCATGATGTAAGTCAGATAAGTCATGTTTTCAATGTACCGTATAAAAATATGAAGCTTCTGGAAGAATATGTAGAAAAATATCTTCAGGGTCTGTGGCTAGGTGAAGAGGTAGCTTTCAATGTGACACCAAAAGGAAAATCTATAAAAAGAAAAACAAATTGATGAGTTGAATTTCATCAAATGAAAATGTTTTGATGTGCAAAGATCTTGTGAATAGGATGAAAAGAAAATTCACAGGTTAGAGGATATAATTGCAAGCAAAACACCTAATAAAGAATTCATTTGTCAAATACATCTAAAAATTCTCAAAATACATTGAGTTGCCTGGGTGGCTTAGTAGGCTGGGCATCTGATTTCGGCTCAGGTCATGATCTCATGGTTCATGGGTTTGAGCTCCACACTGGGCTCTGTGCTGACAGCTCAGAGCCTGGAGCCTGTTTGAGATTCTGTAGCTTCCTCTCTTTCTGCCCTTCCCTCACTTGCACTGTCTCTCTGTCTCTCAAAAATAATTAAACATTTAAAAGTTTTTGAAAAATTCTCAAAATACAACCAAAAAAAGAAATGTAAAATTGGCAAAAGATGTGAACAGATATTTTGCCAAAGATGGATGCCCAATAAATGCATGAAAAGGTATTTGAAAACATTAATGCAAATTAAAACCCCAAAGAGATATCAATATGTATCTATGGAACAGTTAAAATAAAACACAGTGTTGCCACCAAATGTTGACAAGGATGCCAAGAAACTGGGTCCTTCATCATGACCAATCTGGAAGATAGTTAGCACCTTCAAGAAACCAAACACAGATTTACCATATGATAGCGATCACACTTCTGGGCATTTATCGCAGAGAGATGAAAACTTATGTCCACACAAGAAACTGTATACAAATGTTCATAGCAATTTTATACTTAATAGCCAAAAACTGGAGAAAAATGCAAATGTCCCGTAACGGGTGAATGAGCAAACAAATGGTGGTCCGGAGTAATGTGGAAGGCTACTTGGCCATGCAAAGGAACATACTATTGATACAGTCACCAAATCATAGAGACGGTGAATGGTGAGTGGTGCCTGCAGTTAGGGGGAGCACATGGAACTCTTTGTGATTATTGAGCAGTTCTTCATCTTGAATATGGCAGTGGTTCCACAAATGTACACATGCAGTAAAGTGGTAGAGAACCGCGCGCGCGCACACACACACACACACACACACACACACCAATGTAAAATCTGCATGATGTCCGTGCATCGTACCAATGTCAATTTCCTAGTCTGATATTACACCTGAGTTATGAAAGACGTCACCACTGGAGAAACCTGGGCAAAGGGTTCAGGGACGACACTATTTTTGCAACTTCCTGGGATTGTTGATTATGTCAACATTAAAATTGTTTAAAAGGCCATGGATGACCCTGAACTTTTTCTCTGGAGAAAATACAGCACTGTGTGTTTCCATTCATCTGCCTTTATTAAGGGCTACGAGTTGAAATGCCTACGTCACGTAATCATAGCATATGTTTGCTGCTGGCATATCAGATAGTCTATTCTTGGCCTTAAAGGGGTTCCCAGAATGAGGGGGAGAAGTCGCGATGTTGGTGGTGCTGGTGTAGGAATCCATAGTAATGGGACTTACAGGTGTCCAAGACCCGGGGCATCGCGGGGGAAAAGCACTGAAGGTAAACAGTGAAAGCTGGAGGTGGCGGTGTGGATAAGAAAGGTGAACATGTCCCATAGGGGCACCTCTCTAGAGCTGGGCTACACCCACACACAGGGGGAAAACGCCCAGAGTGGAGAGGCCCAGGTGCTGACGGTGGTAGAGAAACAGATACCATTTAAGAAGGTGGTTGTTATCATTGTTTTTTACGGGAAAAATCCTTTCACATAATAAAAGAAAAATAAAAAATTCTTACCCAGAACTTGATTAGTTTATGGAGAGCCAGAAATAGCCAAAACCATATGCTAGCAGGAAGAAGACAGTTACGTTTCAATCATTGTTCTTAGAAAACAAAGCAGTTTTTTAAAATGTATGAGAA